GAGGTTTACAATAATTAAAAAATGATATTAAAGAACAAAATATTTTTATCCTGAGAAAATTAGCTGGTTTGGGGGATATTGCACAAAAAGGCCTAAGAATTATAGCTTTCTGCATTCATCATGCAAAATGTATCACATAAATTAAGACTGGAATTATGTCTCACCAGAGACTGCTCCTGTTTTTTTTTTTTTAGAAGGAACATTAAAGCAGCTTTATCCATATTTGTAAAGCCTGAATTTTGAAAAATGAGTTCATTAAACTCTAAATTGACAATTACTGTACAAGTACTCTGATGGCTGAGGAAAAGATCCTCTTAATGGCTTTAGCTGTTGGCTGAGGGAGTAACCCTGACTGGGTTATTGATAACAAGGCTGTGCAGAACTTTGAATTCAAAGGAAAAAGGATGTTTTGGAGCGTGCATGAGCACGCAAGTAGCACCTGTGGGTGACTCCTTAAGTGATCCCAGGAAAAGACTCAACTGGTTTAATGAACTGCTGAATGGTGCCCAACCATGTGCATTCCAGAGCATCTTTTTTCCCTTGATTCCAAAGTCCTGCATAGCTCTAATTAATAGCACATTTCTGACAGCAAATCCCATTTTAAAGTGTTCTGTGCCAAAGTGAAAGCTGGATAAGGATCTGTATTATATTGTATCCTTGACTGCAGTATGTCTTTCTGTGTCTGTGTGTAATATCCAAGGCATGCTTTGGGTTGAAATGTGAACCAGAAATTAACATTTGTCTTACAAGTAGCCCTGTCTTGCGATTCTTTAAAAACAAGGGAAGGAAGGCATACAGATCATGGTTTCTGGAATTCTTTCCCATACTCTAATAATAGTGCTGCTCTGGGTCACATGACCAGGAGGGAACTGAGCAGTCGACAGCATTCCTAGACACTGCCCAACTGCTTCTCCCATAAGAGCACATTGGGGAAATTTTTTCTGGAACATTTTTCTCCACTGCTCCCAGCCAGATCCAGCCTATTTTTAGAACCTTTCTTTATCTAGTTTCTCCCACCAAATCACATTTGACCCCATTTGGTTACGTTTTCAGAGTTATCCTGCTGACAGACAGAGTCCTGTGTCCCTTTATATAAATTCTTCCCAGCGTTCCTTAGGGTTGGAAAAATGTTCCAGTAGGAACTTTTATTCTGCTTTAATAATAGATACAGAAGCCACCAAGTCCAAGTGAAGCCCCCATCCTGTTCCCTGTCATCCTGATTGTTCTTAAACCAGCCTAATAATTTAAAATAAAATCAGTCTTGTACACCAAGGATTATCTAGCTGGTTGGCT